TTACAATTCTTATTACACAATTAGAGCACAATTAGAGCACAATTTTTCATATATCTGGTAGTATACAAAGTATATTCACTCCAATTTGTGTCTTCATGCATGTACTTTGGATAATAATGTCCATCACATTCCACCATCATTTTGGGGATGATATCTTCCACAGTGGAGTTTATTTATCATATGAATGAAAGTACACAAAAGAATCTTAAAAGTTCTTTTGCCTTTGGCTGTCTGGGTTTCAGATTAACACTCAATTATGATTACATCTCCTCCTTCATATTACTTGTTTCTAATTTTGTTTTTATCATTAACACCTTTAATTATATATTTTCCCAAAACTTTGTTGGGCTTAATTTAAATATTCAGAATATTAAAATCACCACATTCTTCTTCCCCAGATAACTACTACTTAAGATTTTAGTAAACCAGATGCTTGAATAAAACAACTATTTGGTTATTATTTATAAGGTCTATTATATTATAATCAACTTTTCCTTCCTTAAAAGATTTACTCATACGATTTCAAAAGAGATTGCAGATCACTGAATTATTTGGAGATTTTTCAAAAAAATAAATAAATGAAATATCCTGGTTTGGTAGATGATGCCTGGGTTTTTGTATATTTCCTTTATGCATATATTCATATTTTAAAAATCCAGCAAGCAATGGCACCTCGACTAGAAAATATATTTATTCATAGGATTGTTTTTGAAAAAATTATAATAAACTAATCTCTTTTTATCTTACCTCCTGACTGGATTTAAAAATCATCCACACCATTCCTGCTATTAAGTAATAGGAACATTTCCCAGCAATTTGAATTTCATTTGCAATTTTCTGATGAGAAGAGAAAATTCTCAGTTTGAAAGGCTGTAGCTTCTCTTTCCTGAAAGGAAATGTGAGAAAGAATAGCCACAACCAGGCTATTTATCTGTAACTGAATCTTCTTAAGAGGGTATCAAGGAAACAAAACATATTAAGCATAAAGATCAATGATGCAATTGTAGTTTTCTCATGATTTGTTATAAAGTTGACACTTAATTAAGGCCCAGCTTCTTTTGGAGGGGAATTTAACACTTATTTTCACAAACTTTGTTAGTCCCTAAGGTTGTAAATCAGAAATTGAGGATTCCCTAAGGATTAAACTTCCTGACTTCCATGCATTCTAAGGACCCAATTATATTAACTTCAAGAGAATCTTTCCCAGTCATACATTTCTTGGAGTATTCATTAAGTATGTTTGTATTTGATGGTGTCATCATAAGTTGGTACTAGAAACAGAATATCCAAAATTTCTCAGAAAAGTTAAACTTTCCTCAGAAATATATTTTTCTTTTTATTGAACAAAAAATATAGGATCAACTCTATGGAATACTAAATAAATCATTCCGTATCTTCAAACTTTTATTTTTCATATTTTTCTTAATTATAGGTCATATACATTATTCTTGAGACTAACATAATTATAGGAAGTTTTAGTTGCATTTGACACTTTCTATCAATGATTTTTTTCATAGTAACTATAATGCTATTTTTAATACTTGAAGACTATTCCATTAAGTGTAATTGCTCTAATCTAGCCTACTATTTTCACATTATTGAACACTTTGTTTCTTTTTTTTTGAGATGTATATATAATGATCATCAATATCTATGCTTCTTGCTAATTTGGTTTTCCTTCTACTAGAAATAAGATAAACTTCTAGAGTTGCAACTATAGAAGAAAGAATATGGAGTCTGAGATACTTCTTAGTATACATACAAAACTTTTCCCCAAAAACTTAATGTTTTAAGTAGCTGCTAAAATATTTGCACAGACTATTTTCTGGAATCAGAGATACTTATTCTTTTCTATTTATATAAAACATTACCTTGTTTTACTTTTCATTTCTGTAAATGCTAGTTAGATTGAACATTTTCTCTGTGTTTACTTATATTTTCTCTTATATTTTCTTTTCAAACCCATCACTTAACTATCACAATTTTAATAGTTTTCCTCTCAGTTTGTGTGAACTCTAATAAAGTATATGTTTAACCTATCTTTCAAATTTTCTGCAAATACTTTTCCAACAGTGGCTTTCCTTCTTATTTTTAAAATATTCTTTTTTTTCTGCATTGAAGTAAGACTTTAATACAATCCTAAAAAAGTGAGCAAAACTTTTTTGTGATTTGATATTTTGTTTCACCAATATGATAACTATGTTCTTATGTGTCTAAAGCATGAAACAGATGGATATTTTAAAAATATTAATTATTTTTTCAAATGCTTCATTAAAGCTATGTCTTATCATTTCCCCTTATGCATTCACAGAAGACTTATTGAATACCTGTTATATATGGGCTAGGCACTGTGATCATCTTTGAAGTGAATTTGGAAATAATTTGTAGAAAAATATGGGTTCATAAATTTTAAAACTAAACATGAAGAGCATTAGGTTATAGGTCATAACGTTTCTGTTATTTACATCCTTTTATGCTCAAAATTATATCATAATCAATTTTTCACATTTATAATAGCTACATTGTATTTTACTTTTGTTTCAAGATATACTTAATTTATTTTCAAATAATGGGCATTTATTTTTCTTATTATTATATAATTTCATATTATATAATAAATATTAATATTATAATATATAATAAATATTACTATTGTAAAAATTATTATAGAAATAATTATAACATTCTATAAGGGGTATGTTTCTATTTTATTTTGAAATAATCTCAATCACTTTAATAATTAATTTAAAAAGTGAAGATAAATATGATTAAAAGCCTATTCATATGGAATCACACTAGTGAAATAATCAAATTCTAAATGGTTAGTTTTAGGGGTGGAAATTATTTAAAATTAGTTCTAATGAGATGAGATAACAGAAATACACCTAGAGTATGACTAATGGTCAACGTACTTCTGCCCCTAAGCCCATTGATTGTTAGAGCACTTTATGAGGCCACATGAATTATTTTTTTATCATCATAATTATCAGAAATTTGTTTGTATGCAACTGTAATATTCGAAAGACAGAAGAATGAAAGTGTTAAAATCATGCTTTCTGGAGTTAGGTCAGCATTGTCAAGCACTACCTGTATAACTTTGAGGATGTCACTGCACATTTGTAATCTTCAATTTACCTATCTATGAAATGAGGAACTTAAGAATTTCTACCTGATATTGTTAATATGTGAATTAATGAGGTAATGCATATGCAGAATTTGACATAGCTATGGAGGCATAGTAGATAGTTAATAAAAGTGCTTTCTATTCTTCTAATGGTATAGCCATTGTAAATATATGCCTTGTTTTTATAGAAAGAGATTGGTTTGAGGATAGATACACATAAGTTAGGGTCTCACTTTAGAAAATCCTATTTTATTAATCTCTAGTAAGCTATTTAAGCTGTAAAATGAATATTATAACTGCCTTTCAGTATTGCTATATGATAATATTTTAGTTGTGCTTATCATGATTCTTGGTGTTTGACAGATAGTCCATAAAAGACTGTTAACATTTTTATTATGAATGAGTGAATTGGATAGATTTTTCCTAATGTTGACACACCAAATAACCACTTTCAGTTGGTTTTGGTAAGTCAAAGGGACATGTAATCATTCTACTTCAATGTAAAGATATAAAAATCAATAGAAAAAGAATTAAAATAAATCACTGCCACCAAAATATGGAATCTCTTCCTTGATTAGATAGGGAAAATACAGATTGCTTCTGTGAGACAAAATTATAAACCTTATTGAATGTGATTACATAAATTCTTCACAAATTGCTTAAGATAATTGTGTCAAAATTAAAAGAGACTCATTTGTTTTGGTAAGTGTATGGAAGTCAATTTATTTCAGGAGGCACATTGGTAGACCCAAAAATGAGGAATGCACAGCTCTGACAAGTTGGGTTCCTGCTTATGATATTTCTGTCAATCTCATAGTAGCACAGAGTAGAATGGTGGTTGCTAGAAGCTAGGGGTGGGAGAATGCCGCGTCCGGCCAAGGGAGCCGAGTCCGGCGAGGGACGGCGAGGTTAAAAGACACACAGGACACCAAGGTTCTTCATCCAGGAGTCAATAATAATCTTTATTGCTAACACACCTTTTTTTATACCCCAAGCAGCAGAAGTGGAAAACTACCCAAAAGCAGGAGGGAGGGGGGAGAAATTTAGTTTCAACATCTATTATTGTCAGGTACTGAAACCTCCCTTAACAATAAGTCCATCAGACCAGAAAAGGTCAAGGCATTCCCGTGGGATACATATGTCTCAGACGGACAAGCAGGAACAGAAAAACCGCAAGTTCGCCATGGCCTTGTGAGCTGGCCACACTGGCATGCAGAACAAACTAGTGGAGGTAGGGCTCCAGGGGCCAGGGTGGACCTGCTGCCAACAAGTCCCCCTCTTTTGTTTTTTGCATGCCAGTGGGAATCAAGTAGCCCCTGTCTTAGGTCGTTCACAGCCCTTGCGATGCTTACCCGTCTCTGGGAAGGCCCCGATTCCCTGGCTTAGGTCGCACAGCAAGCGTGAAAGTTGCCCGTCACTGGGTACTACAAGATCAGCTCAAGGTGTGATGACCTATCAAGACACTATTGCGGTAAACGCTTAACCGTCTCCACCTACGGGACCCATGACCGTCACCGCCGAATGGCAGATGTGATTGGACCGAGAGATTAGACAGCAAAGATCCTAGTACAGGAAGGCAAGAGGGAGAGGTATGCATAGAGAAAAGATATGGCAGGAGTTCTTCTTTTAAGGAGGACACTCATCTTCGGATAGGTCTGAAGTATATCTCAGAGGGGCGATCATCCATCTTCAAGCGTTGATAGTGAACCTGTATTGGCTTAGAGGCTAAGATATTAATTTGATCCTTAATGAATTGTACTATCTTATTTACAATGTAGGGTCCTATTGCCACTACTAGAAGGAGGCCTAACAATGGCCCCAATAAGGGAAGAAGATAAGGCAAAAATCCATTAAGTCTAGTTCAGAGAGGGTTCTCAAATAATTCCCTCCTCCTTTTTTTTAGGTCTTCTTGGAGTTGTTTAATTTTTGTGCGAACTATGCCAGATTTGTTAGCATAAAAACAGCACCTCTCCCCAAGGGCTAAACAAATTCCCCCTTGATTGGCAGTAAGCAAGTCTAAACCCCGCCTGTTCTGAAGAACTACTTCTGCTAGGGAGTCTATCTGGTCTTATAAGTCTTTAATGGTTCCCGACAGGGTTTGCACATCATCTATAAGCTGTTGAGATAGGCGGCGGTAAGAATGTATAGCCGTACCCAATCCTGCCGTGCCTGTACCCACAGCAGCGGTTATTCCAAGGCCAACAAGGAGTGGTAAGGCCTGCACAGCTCTCTTGTGTCTTCTAACTAAGATGTCTAGGCTAGGAATGGGTAGGGGTTCATCTCCTGAGATAATCGTGATATCAGGAAGCAATAATGCCAGAACGCAACCACCAGTCCAATTTGCTGGGAGCCTGGGAAAAGCTAAATTTCCACCACACATAAAGACTGTACCATTAGGGGGACAAATGGGCGGAGTAGGTGAGGAGTAATTCTTTACTAATGAGCAGTTTCCAAAGGAAGAGATTCCAACATCAACATCATAGGTATTATTTTGCATCATGCCCAGAAGGCATGACATAAAACCACCTAGAGGCTGCACCTTAAAGGGTAGCCCAGATTGACATGTGTTGTCATCATCAATGGTATAATTGATGGGAACCGCCAATGGCATGACTGCACCTGCCGTCATGCAGAGCCAGCAATCACCAGCAAGGGTAGGGTTGGAACTGTTAAGTAAAGAAAAGGTAGTTTCTAGGATATCTAATGTATTGGCATCTAAATCAGGAAACTGGGATTTGGGCAATATCAAGGGGTGGTATGTAGGCTTAGGGATCTCCAGCTTTAAAAGCTTAATCACCTGAAGGTGTTTGATAGCATCAGTGGGTCCCCCTCCATCAGAGACTCCGATGGGGGCCTGCATGGGCCAGCAGGAAGGTTTACCCACGACACCCTCACATCCCGCCTCCATTAACCGAGTCGTGATGCCTTCCCCTCCCCGGTCACCAAGAAAAGGAATATAATTATAAGTGGTCCCCCATTCTCCACGGGTGTTAGTTAGGATGGCCTCAAAATACTGTTTTCCTTGATTATTAACACAAATTGAGGCCGATGTATAACAGGAGATGTGCATTGCCGGGGTGTAATGACAAGTGGCGGAACAGCTTCCAAGAGTCTCGGTCGGATTAGGGACAACAAGTCCGGGCTTATTAACACATACCCATTTTGGTTGCTTAAATCCTCCGATGTTTTCATTGAGTTCAGCCGCCATGTAGGCTACTTTAGTCCCACAATCAATGCTCTGGATATAACCAGAGGGGGCCGAGTGCCGGGGCCCTCCCTTACACTCGCAAGGGGCTCCAAAAAGATATTCATGAATATTCCCAGGTGGGGGGTCAAGCCCTCCTTCAACAAACCTGTCCAGAAGGAATGCCACAAGCGGGGTCCAGCTCATGAGGTGTGTCTCGGCACTCACTTGAAGGGGTGAGAACAACAGCGGCAGGATCAGCCATCTTGGGAACTTCATTTTGTCTTGAATTTTCATTCACCGGTCTGGTGCAGCGCTCCGGGATCCAAATGGGCTTCTCAGTTCCTGGGGGAAAAACACATACAGCTCCCTTCACTCTAGCTAAGAGTGGAGCCGGGGGTTGCCACTTTCCGGTGGATAAATCTTTCCACCTTATTTGAGCATCTTGTACAGTGGGAGGGGAAAAGTGGCGTTGTGCAGCCGTGCGCCCTCCAGTGTCAGTGAGTAAAAAATTTAAAGTAAATAGGGTTATGCTTAGAAGTGCTTGTGGTCCCTGACAATTCCGGTATATCTCCCCCTCTTTTGTTTTTTGTAAATAAGTTTTTAAATGTTGATGGGCTTGTTCCACGATAGCTTGTCCCTGTGGATTATAAGGGATTCCAGTCTTATGATTAATTTCCCATTGGGTGCAAAACCGTTGAACCGCCTGGCTTACATATGCGGGACCATTATCGGTTTTGAGGCATCGTGGGGTGCCCATGGAGGAAAAGGCTTTTAGAAGATGACTGATTACGTCCTTAGCCTTCTCTCCAGTATGTAAGGTGGCAAAAATGAAGCCAGAATATGTGTCAGTGGAAACATGTATAAAGGAGAGCTTACCAAAGCTAGGGAAGTGTGTAACATCAGTTTGCCAGACATCATTAGGTTGTAGTCCTCTTGGATTAACCCCAAGGGAAGGAGAATGAATAAATGGTGCACAGGTTGGACATAATGAGACAATCTGTAAAGCTTGGTCTCGTGAACATCCTGTGTGGAAGCGTAAAGACTGTGCATTTAAATGAAATTTGTTATGGAATTGTAAGGCCTTATCATATTCTGTCATCACACAGGAAAGGCCAACAGCATGAGTAGCAGCGTCTGCTTTTGCGTTGCCCTCTGACAAAGGTCCAGGGAGCCCTGAATGGCTTCGGATGTGGCCAATGTATAAAGGATCTCGTCTAGCCCAAATGAGAAGCTGAACTACCTGTAGTTGTTCTGTGATGGTGGATTGCTTTCCAATATATGATGCTGTTTCTATGACTAGAGCCAGATTGGCTACATACAAGCTGTCAGTATATACATTAAGAGGAATAGAGCTATAGACTTTGAGAGCTATGATTAAAGCTTCAACTTCTGCCTTTTGGGCCGACTGACCTGACACAGGTTGTCGGAGAATTTGAGATCCATCAAAAACGACGGCAAATCCATTTTTGGCCCCATCTGTATATACAGTTTGGGCCTTTGGAATAGGTTCCCTTTTCATAATCTTTGGGAAGATAATGGGACACCTTTTAAAGCTCTCCAAAAGTCTATGTTTAGGGAAGTGATTATCAATCTGACCCTTGAAGCTGCACAGGAAAAGACACCAAAGGTCTTGTTCTTGTTGTAACTTGTGTATCATATCTTGAGTGTAAGGTTGAATAAGTATGTCAAAGGTTTTTCCAAACAATGCGTCACCCAAATATTTAGCCTTCCAAATTAAGTTAATAACTAGCTCATAAAAGGGAGTCAGTACCCGGGGGTTAGAAGCCGGCAAGTGGACCCAATAAATGGGACCCGTTTGCCAGAACACTCCTGTGGGAGTAATTTTAGAAGGTAGAACTATAAATGACAGGGGCAGAGAATAATCTATCTGCGTAATCTGCATGTCCTGCAGAGCCTCTTCTATTAGCCTCAGTGCTCGTAAGGCTTCTGGTGTAGGTACTCTACACGACGTAGGAGAAGGATCTCCTCACAAGAGGTCATACAGGGGTTTGAGCTCTCCAGTTGGAATATGAAAGGATGGGCGCAGCCACTGTATTTCTCCGAGGAATGTCTGCCACTGATGTAAAGTTTTGAGCTGATTTATCTGTAACTGGGGTCTCTGGGGAAAGATTCCTATGTTATTAATGATATATCCCAAATAATTGTAAGGGTGTTGAAACTGCACCTTTTCGGGTGCTATGACCAGCCCTGCCCCTTTTAGAAGGGATTGGAGGACTTCATAAGATTGAAGAAGCCTTTCTTTCTTGGGCCCTGCCAGTAAGATGTCATCCATATAATGAATGAGGTACAGCTGTGGGAACTGCTGTCGAAAGGGTCGCAAAACCTCAGCTACAAAATATTGGCACATTGTAGGACTATTAGTCATCCCTTGAGGTAGGACGGTCCATTCATACCGTTGGTATGGTTCCCTAAAATTTGTGGAAGGCAAGGAAAAAGCGAAACGCTTTTGGTCTCGTGGGTCTAAGGGGATAGAGAAGAAACAATCTTTTAAATCTATGACAATAAGATGCCAATCCTTTGGGATGGCAGTAGGAAAGGGTAGCCCTGGCTGTAAGGGTCCCATGGGTTGCATAGTTTTATTAATAGCCCGTAGGTCCTGAAGAAGTCTCCACTTCCCAGACCCCTTTTGTATAACAAAAATAGGGGTATTCCAAGGGGAGGTAGAGGGCACCACGTGTCCTAACTCAAGCTGGTCTTGAACTAATAGGGAAGCGGCCTGTAATTTGTCCTTAGTTAGGGGCCACTGTTCTACCCACACAGGGTCATCTGATAACCAAGTAATGGACAGTGGAGGTGGCCGCACTTCAGTGGCCCCTAGGATAAATTTCCCAGTCCTCTCCGGTCTCTTCCCCGCCGGGTAACCTGTTCTGCTGGATCCACAGGTGATATTCTGCCCTCATGTCTCTTTCCTAGTCCCCTTCCAGGGATCCATCCCATGTCTAGCATTGCATCATTAACAAAGTCATTATTTCCTTTCAAAGTCTGGGTAGTGAGAATAGCCCCCATTTGATGAAGCAAGTCCCTCCCCCAAAGGTTCGTGGGGAGTCCAGTCACTACATAGGGCTGGAAATGGCCACTATGTCCTTCGCCATCTCTCCATTTTAAAAAGGAAGCACTTCTTTTTGGTCGGGTTTGTCCTATCCCCTGTAATATGGCCGAGGGACTCTGGAGGGGCCAGGCAGGTGGCCATTGTTTTTCAGAAATGACAGAGACATCCGCCCCCGTATCTAGTATTCCCTTGAAAGCCTTGTCCTGTATCTCAATGGTCAGGTTGGGACGCGAATCCAAATGAGCTACCCAAAAGGCCTGGGGAGTTCCAGTGGAGCCAAAGCTGCCGTCGCCCCGGGACCCACGGAGGGTGTGCCCAGGAATAGAAGCTAAAGGTAGCAGCAGCAATTGAGCTATACGCTCCCCGGGGGGAAGAATAACAATTCCTTGGGTAGCTTCTACTACTATTTTTATTTCTCCCTGATAATCAGCATCAACAACCCCCGTAAGAATCTTCAAGCCCCATTGAGTTGCACTACCTCGTCCCAACACTAGTCCCACCGTCCCCTCTGGCAGGGGTCCAAAAACCCCAGTAGGCAGCATCTGAGGTCCCATTTGGAGAGTTAATACCGCTCGGGAGGTGGAACTGAGGTCCAGTCCTGTGCTTCCTGGTGTTCCCCTGGGGAGTTCCCAGATAGAAAGGGGTTGGTCAGTGGGAGGTGTTGGAGACGCCCACTCCCTGGGGCACTGTTCTGTCCCTGCACTGCCCCGTACACTTTGGCTTCCGGGGCCCGGGGCGGGCCCCTGCTCCCGTTTCCCGATGGTATTGGGTTTCCCTGGATGTCAAATTTTGACCTGCACTCACTGCTCCAATGATTTCCTTTATGACACCGAGGACAAAGTCCAGGCATCCCTCTGCGAGCACCCTCGCTCCTTTCCGGGCAGTTTCTCCTTATATGTCCCTCTTTCCCACACTTAAAACACCCCTTAGAGCGGGTTCCCCTGTTATCAGCTTTTTGCATTCCAGTCTTAAGGGCAGCAGCCAAAACCTGACCAGTAATATGAGGCCCATCTATATCTTTGCATGGTCGAATCATGTCATCTATACTTTTGGCCCGGGAGGACTTAATAGCATTTTGGCAGTAAGTGTTAGCGTTTTCATATGCCAGTTGTCTAATAAGTGGCATAGCCTGTTCCAGATTAGGGAATATTTTTCCAGCAGCCTGCATTAGGCGGGCTATAAAGTCCGAATAAGGTTCAGAGGGTCCTTGAGAGATCTTGGAAATTTTTGCTTCAGTCTTAGAAACAGGCAGGGCTTTCCAGGCACGGACTGCAGCTGAGGCTATTTGAGCATAAACACCTGGGTCGTAATTAATTTGTTGGCCTATGGTGGCATACTGCCCAGTTCCTGTCAACATTTCAGCATTTCGCCGTTGATGGCCCGCATTCAGGTTAATCTGAGCCAGCTCGCGGCACCTTTCATGATATTCACTTTTCCACAATAAGAAATCCCCTCCAGATAACACAGCCCTGCAAAGTTGTTGCCAATCATTAGGTATCAGTTGACTGGCTGAGAAAGACTCAAAGAGGGTCAATGTGAAAGGGGCATGAGGTCCATAATTAATGACCGCCTCCTTAAGCTGTTTTATGTCCTTGAAGGCTAGGGGGACATGGGCTCTGGCCGGCTGTCCATCAGCATCGGCGTTTTCAATCATTGGAAAAACCTGAGCCGCTCTAGAACCCCAGTGGACCCCCGCCCGTCTAGTAGGGGCGTCCTCATTCCAATCAGGATTATAGAGAGGAGGTGCTGCAATTGAGGGGGCTCTAGGCACCCTCACATTTGCCCTTTTAAGGCGATGTTCTAGTTCCTCTATCTCCCTTTCTAATCCCTCCTCTTCCTCAGAGAGAGAACTGAGGTCCTCAGGATCCTTTTTGGGCTTAGAAATCTGGAGGCGTTTCCTACCCTCCGAGCCCGAGTCCTCAAGGGGACCCTCATCCTTTAAGGATTCTGCCATTTGCTCCTCCTGCACCTGATTAAGGGCCTGTTCACATTCAGCAAGCTGATCCTTGATCTTTACTTTATCTGTTAATAAAGCATCCTTTACCAACCTCCATAAGGAAAAGGTGGCAACTGGGACACTGTCCGAGCCCCGGCCCCTCAATAATTTCTGAAGGTCATGTCTGACCAGGTCCCAGTCACTATTATTAAGAAATCCTCCTGTCAGAAACCAAGGACAAGCCTGGGCAATAATTTCAACGAATTCGGTTGCAGTCTTAGTTTTTATTCCTGTTCCTTGTGTATTTAACAGCTCTTTCAGTTCGTTGGCCAGACGAACCTTCGCTGTTGAGTTACCCATGGTACGTACCCTGTCTCTTTAAATTATCTTTAAACCAATCCTCCCCCTTCTTTCTTAGAAGGTGAGCCCCGTCCGCTTACCCCTGCTTTCCGGATCTCGGTGGGAACCTCCAATTTCCGCGTCCGGCCAAGGGAGCCGAGTCCGGCGAGGGACGGCGAGGTTAAAAGACACACAGGACACCAACGTTCTTCATCCAGGAGTCAATAATAATCTTTATTGCTAACACACCTTTTTTTATACCCCAAGCAGCAGAAGTGGAAAACTACCCAAAAGCAGGAGGGAGGGGGGAGAAATTTAGTTTCAACATCTATTATTGTCAGGTACTGAAACCTCCCTTAACAATAAGTCCATCAGACCAGAAAAGGTCAAGGCATTCCCGTGGGATACATATGTCTCAGACGGACAAGCAGGAACAGAAAAACCGCAAGTTCGCCATGGCCTTGTGAGCTGGCCACACTGGCATGCAGAACAAACTAGTGGAGGTAGGGCTCCAGGGGCCAGGGTGGACCTGCTGCCAACAGGAGAAATTCTGGTCAAAGGGTACAAACTTTCTCTTATATGAGTAAGTTGTAGATACCAGTGTAGATGGTGATGGTTGTATTAATTAGCTTGATTGTGGTAATCATAATACAATGCTTACGTAGACTAAATCATTATGCTGTATACCTTGAATATATTCTATTTGGCAATTAAACATTTTTAAATAAAAATAAAATGGCCTTTTTGCAAGAGTTTCCTATTAGATCTCTCAGCTCACATTCTTTTCTTCCTTCAGTATATTCTATAGATAGTAGCATGGTGGATCTTAGAATGTGATACAGGTCAAATCACTATTTATCTTACTAATATTTAATACCAGTTATATTTCTATTCTGAGTTGTTGTTGTTTATGCCTTACATGAAATTTATTTTGAATATCATCCCAGTATCATATTCAGGCTGAGCCAGGAATGGCTGAGCCAGGGAATGGCTGCACTTGATATCTCATGAGGAGTCTTTTAAACAGTTTTATTTGTGTTTAAATGAGAGAAATGCTACAATCTCACTACTAATGCTCTTTCACTTGTAGCATAGGTTTTTCTTAGACAAAGTGAGAAATAGGTTTGGGAAGCAGGGCTCATAGTTTCAAGGATCACATCTGTCATGATAGCAACATTCACTAGTATGTCCTTGAGCCTCAGCCCCGGAAGACATGAGCTCTGTCAAACTACAGCACACTCATCTTTGGGTGTTTCATCCTCTGCTAGGACTGAGCTAGAGCATCCTGCTTTTGCTGGAGCTGTGTGTGGAGCAAGGCTGGGTGAAGAGCACACTATGGCAGAAATACTGGATGTCCAATACCCTTCGCTATAACTCGCTATAACTATAGGGCCCAATGCTCTCAGATATTAAAGGGACAGACACTGATCAATTTTTAGTTGTGATTAGTACTAGATAATATTTTATTAGCACATTATAGTTATACACAGCAGTTGGTTTCATCCTGACAAAATCATTCATGCATGGAATTTGATTTCAGTTCACATCCCCCAATAGCCCTGCTGTTCTTTTTGTTCTACTCTGCTGGTTTTCCTTTCACTCATCTGTTTATTTATTTTTATTTTTTATTGGTTGCTTCTCCCTATACATAAAGGCGAAATTCCCTCTGGTACATTTATAAAAGCACAGAACATGATTTCTTGAGAATTCATTCTGCATTTCCTCCCCTTCCTGCCCCTCTTCTCTTCCTCTCAATCTTCTATATCCTCCCTTGATATCCAGTTCTCCCCTCTTTATTTACTTTATTTTACTCTAACTTCCGCATATGGGAGAAAACATTTAACCTTTGATTTTATAAGTCTGGCTTATTTCACTTAGCATAATGTTTCCTATTTCTATCCCTTTACCAGCAAGTGCCATAATTTCATTTTTCCTATGGCTAAATAAAACTCCATTGTGTGTGTGTGTTTGTGTGTGTGTGTATCTCAATTTCTTAATCCATTCATCTGTGGCGTCTGTGTTGATTCCATCATTAAATGACTGTGAATTGTGCTACTATAAACATTGAGGTTGCTGTATCACTATAGTATGCTCATTTTCGTTCTTTTGGATAAATACTGAGTGGAATAGCTGGGTCATATTCTTAAGTGTTTTGAGGAATGTCTATAGTGCTTTCTAGAGTAGTTGTACTAATCTGCAGATCCACCAATGGTGTACAGGTCTATCTTTCCCCCATATCCTCACCAGCATTTATTATTGTTTGTGTTCTCATAATTGCATTATGATTGGATTGAGATGAAATTTAGTGTAGTTTTGATTTGTATTTCCATGATTGCTAGACAAGTTGAACATTTTTTATATATTTGTTGGCCATTTATTCTTCTTTTATAGTTTCTATTTAGTTCATTTTTGCCCATTTATTGATTGAGTTATTTATTTATTTATTTGGTGTCAAGTGTTTTGAGTTTTTTGTAGCTGGCAAACATTTTCTCCCATTCTGCAGGCTCTCTCTTCATCCTCTCAATCATGTCCTTTGCTGTGCAGAGGCTTTTTAATTTGATGGCATCCCACTTATTGATTGTTGGTTTTATTTCTTGAGCTTTGTGCATCTTGTTAAGGAAATTGATGCCAGCACCAGTAGGATGGAGTGTTGATCCTATGTTTTCTTCTGACAGTTGTGAGGCTTCTGGTTTAATTCCTAAGTCTTTGACCCATTTAGATTTGACTTTTGTGCAGGGTGAGAGATAGGGATCTAGTTTCATTTTTCTAGACATAGCTATCCAGTTTTCCCAGTATCATTTGTTTAAAAAGGCTGTCTTTTCTTCAAAAAAGACAACTTGTCAAGTATCAGATGGCTGTAAATATGTCAGTTTGTCTTTGTGTCTTCTATTCTTTTCCATTGGTTTTCTTGTCTATTTTGATGTCAATACCATGCTGTTTTTGTTACTGTAGCTCCGTAGTATCATTTTGTGATGAGGCATTGTGATGCCTCCTGCATCACTCTTCTTGTTCAGTATTGTTTTGGATATTCTGAGGTCTCTTATTCTTTGAAATGAATGAAGTATTGTTTTTCCTAATTCTTGAATGTCATTGGTATTTTGACTGGGGTTGCAGTGAATCTGTATATTGCTTTTGGAGGTATGGCCATTTTGACAATATTAATTTTGCCTATTGAAGAACCTGGGAAGTGCCAGGTACAGTGGCATATACCTGTGATCCCAGCAGCTCGGGAGGTTGAGGCAGAGGATTGTGAGTTCAAAGCCAGCCTCAGCAAAAGTGAGGTGCTAAGCAACTCAGTGAGACTCTGTCTCTAAATTAAATATGAAGTAGGGCTGGGGTTGTGGCTCAGTGGTTGAGTGCCCCTGAGTTCAATCCCCAGTACCAAAAAAAAAAAAAAAAAGAACCTGAGAGGTCTTTCCATCTTCTAAGGTCTCCTTCAATTTCTTTCTTCAGTGTTCTATAATTGTCATTGTAGAGATCTTTTGCCTCCTTGGTTAGAATAATTCCCAAGTATTTAAAAATTTTTTGAGGTTTTTGTGAATCAGGTGGTTTTCTTGATTTTTTTTCATCAGCAGAACTACTGTTGGAGTGTAGGAAAGATATTAATTTATGGGTTTGATCTTATGTCTTGGTAGTTTGCCAAATTCATTTATAAGTTTTAGAAGTTTTCTGGTGGAGTTTCTTCAGTCTTCTAGATATAGAACCATGTCATCAGCAAACAGACATAGTTCTACTTCCTTTTTCTGTTTGTATCCCTTTAATTTCCTTCTCTTGCCTGATTGCTCTAGTTAGTGTTTTGAGAACTATACTGAATAGAAATGGTGAGAGTGCACATCTTTGTTTTATTCCTGATTGTAGAAGAAAGACTTTCATTCTTTCTACATTCAGCATGATGTTGGCTTTCAGTTTGTCATAAATAGCTTTTAAAAAGTTAAGGTGAGGTCCTTCCATCCCTAGCTTTTCTAGCATTTTTAACATGAATGGATTTTATCAAAGTTTTTTTTTTCCTGTATCTGTTGAGATGATCATGTGTGATTCTTGTCCTTAATTCTGTTTAAGCAATGAATTACATTTATTGATTTGTGTGTGTTGAACCAACCTTGCATCCCTGGGATGAAACCCATTTAATCATGGTATAGTATCTCCTTGATGTGTTTTTAAATATGGTTTGCTAAATATTTTAGATGATGTGTTTATTTGAGACAAATTTGAGTTCTCCAAAATCATATCATAAATTTGAGCAATTATGATAAATCTCCAATGAAAGGTAAAGCAGCATGATCAACCCTGAAACCTTTGCTGAAATCTATGTGATACTTAATGTAAATATACTCTCAGTGTGTCATCTCATGGATACATGATCATATAGCCACTGTCTGTTAGAAAGATTGGGCATCCACATCTTCAAATATCAGTAATGCTCACATTTCAGATGAACAGTTCGTTCTTTGGTGGCCGTCATAACCATTTTACATTGATTTGTATCAGCAGGATGAATAATCCTAACAGAAAGGTGCACTGATTATCATGAACATCTTCATTTTGTACTGGTCCTGATTTTTAACTTTGTGCTATCTTTAAATGTCATTGTAGTTATTGTGAATCAAAGTTAGAAAAAAAATCTTAATACTTATTGACACATATACTAGCTTGCTGTGGAATTCCTCCTTTTAGATTCCTGCCCCATGATTTCCTTATATTCATGTAAACATTGCAGAAAAACACTATTTCACTCCCAAAGTTGGATATACTGTATTCAAATCAACTTTTGTTCTTTCTAAATTGCAATGGTTATGTGGATTCTGAATCAATTTCCTGGGATCAAAATGAACTATTTGCATAATTTAATGTCTCGGGCGGGAGTCACAGCCCACCCAGATCTTTACTATTATGTGATTAATGTATTTGAGTATAGTAGACTAGATTTAAAATGAGAAGGAGGGGTGAGAACTGTGACAATCTCTAGTTCCATGTGACTAAACAAAATGTGGTGTTATCATATTCTCTTTCTCATTGCTTTAATCACTCTGGCTCTAAATATTTTTACCGAGATATCTTATTTAACCTGTCTAACTTACTATTATTATTGTTTTTGTACTGGGTATTGAACCCAGGAAACTTAACCACTGAGAGCTTTTTATTTTTATTTTGAGACAGGGTATCTCTAAGTTGCTTAGGGGCTTGCTAAGTTACTGAGGCTGGCC